TGTGTGTGTGTGTGTGTGTATGTGTGTGCCTTTGTAAGGAGGCGAATTTGTGGGTGGAGGGGGAAACATGTCGAGGAAGGACGGGGGTAAATTTAATACAGTAAAAAAAAACAAAAAACAGTAAATTTAATATCCGGGTCCATCATGACTTTTTTTTTGCCAATGTTGATGATGTTTTTAAATTCACTTTCGCCAAATGGGTTTGCAAACTGGGATTCGGCAAACTGGGTTTCACAATTTTTGAATTGGCAATTTGGTATTTGCGGAAATATGCAGTGTATTTTCCACTTTTAATGGAAATGTTGATTTGAATTTTAGTGAGCTAAACAGTATATCGTTCCCATTTTTGTAGGCCTATTTGATCATTATTTTCCAGAATTGTACTGAAAAAACAAAAATTAAGATAAAGATATTTACTGAGGAAAACTTAAGTATACAATGTTTAAATCACTTGTGAAAGGAAGTACCCAAGATGGATAAATACAATTCATTATTATTATATTTATTATTTTCTCTTTTCACATCCAACAGCAAGTACAATTACAGCAGGAAATTAAAAGTCAAGTTTCAGTGTCATTATAGCCAAAACACTGACAGTACTGTAATAATAGCAATGATAATAGAAATAACAATGTTAATAATAATCATATCGTTAGAAAAATTCAATTGATTAAATATAAAATATATTTTACCCCCTTGAAAACCAACATTATTTAAATTATTATTATTACTACTATAATCTAGTTACTCCGATACGTTTGTATCTATGTCCACTAAAGCCTACAAAAAGAATTCATGCATATTATATGCAAATATTCAAAAATCGGACTTTCAGTGCATAAATGAAAATAAAATACTTCAATACCCAAGCAGACTTTCCGAGTATTACATGCACATATTCCCGAATCGGAGTTTTTGCATACTGTATGCTAACAAATTGTAGGACTAGACTAGCACTAGACACATCGTCACATGAATAAAGAAGAGAGCACACCAACAAAACATCTTTCCTCTCATGTCCAGCACCTAAATCGAGAGTATGAAGACATACTGAATCCTATGGAAAATGAAAATTTTAAGGCGGAAGCAAACAGTATAAAACTGCGAGAGGCCCGACAGCCATGATTTTGTATGCAGGCAACGGAACGCTAAAATAGTACCGCCACGAAATAGGGAACGCAGCACACTTCGATCATCGAACGTCTTTTAAGGCTACGCCCCTTTGTGGAAATACTTTTTGAAATAGGATTACGTTCTAATAAAACCACGGCAGTCGGACCTCTTGCAGTTTCATACTTTTTGGCGGAACCTTTAATACAGTACTCTACAGCATGCACCAGTCAATTCTTAGGCAGTCTGTCTACATGACACATAAAATATTATTATTATTATTATTATTATTATTATTAACATTATAGTTAATAATTGTAATTGCAATTTATCCATTAACACATTAACAATACAATAATTAGAACTGTATTTACAAATACATAATGCATGAGCATAGTGATGAAATTATAAAATAAAAACCATTAATAGTGTACATGAACCTGATTCTCTTAAATTAATACATACATACTAGGTGGACAGTACTGTGTTAACAGACTAACAATTGCTTTACATCACAATTGCTTTACATCACAATCTTTGTATTACACTGTGAACATCTTCAGATGAATGTATCATCCAATCCAAGGCAACTAATAAAAACAGCTTAGCTCAGTCGGCTAAATAATAATAAAATTTTATGTAGCACCTAATATTAACTAATTTAAGGTTCTTAACAAGAACATCTAAAAAATAAAGCAATTTGGAACAGCACTGGAAGCAAATACGAATATCCAACAGAAAAATTAAACAGTCAAGACAGAGATGCTGATCCCCCTGCTCTTTCAGCTGTTTTAATAGAACACTATTTTAGATGTGATGTTTAAGTCTGGTCCTATGTACGGTATTGGCAATATGCATTTCAAAGGACACTATAGGAGGAGTAAGACTAAAGAGGTCATTTTCCAATGTAGTGCCCAATACAATACAAACCCTACAAGAGATAAGTCTTTAGATTTTTTGTGGGTTATCCAATCCAACATTTAGGGTCTAGAAAAAAAACAAAACATTCTAGGGTGGGTGATTTTGAGTCAAGAGATTGACAAGACTATTATTCATTTACAAATACAACTTTAACAAAAAAAAAAATTAAGACCAATTTAAAAACATTGTTTTTATACATGACAACATTTTTTTCATCCATTTGCTCTCTTAAATATTGCTCTTCATACTTTGCATTGTACAGGTACATATTTATTTTTTCATTTTAAAATGACTCTTGGAAATATTATTTAGGCCAACCTGATATATATATATATTTTTTTTAATTTAAACAACCACAATAGGTTAAACGAATCAGGCTGGTATATAATAATTTACAAAAATTGAACAACCACAATATGTTATTAAAACTAATCAGGTCAAAGCACTAAGTGTAATTAATCATGGAGGAATTAGCCTCCATGAATTAATTAACCTTGGTATTTAGACTCTTCAGCAAGTGATAACCTTTTTGCAATCATATACGTACATACATAGATACATACATACTGTACATAAATACACCCATACATACTGTACATACATGATTATGCAGTAGGCCTACATACATATCCATAAAATGTTCTTATTTGCTTTCCACATACATATGTTGGGTTCACCAAAGCAGATTATCCACAGCAAATCATGACAAAAAAAAAACACCTGCATGTAGCAGTACAAGTACTTAATTTTCTTTGGCCATACATCAACTTCGCCAAATAAATCATCACCTGTCCATGGTCCTTACACTACAGTATCGGCATATAGTTCAACACATTTTTCCTTAAAATATCCTACGCCGAAATGGGTTATCAGGTCAAAACGACCCATGCTCGGCCTATTCCAGGAAATGATTGTCAAATTTTCTTTTAAAATTCTTAATAAAATTAATCATAGATAAAACAGAATGTAAAAACAATCTATTCTTAAAGAATAAATTATGGAAATATACAAATAGGTGGAATTTCTTTAGAAATAATAATAATAATAATAATAATAATAATAATAGGTGGTATTTCCATTAATAGGTGGTATTTCCTTATTGATTATTGTTTATATTTATTTGGTACAATAATAACATTATGGATGATGTGTCAGCAGTATGAAATACTGTAAAATGATTAAACAAGTAACATAGTGCTGTAAATTTTAATGGGTAAACAAGTCCCGGAGCTATCAGTAGATTTCCTGTCGATTTATAATCAGGCAGTACTGGGAAGGGACAAATTGATTACCTGCTCCACAACAAGACATCCATTCATAGAAGCCTTTGAGAAGAAAGCTTATACAGTGTGGTGGCCAGGACCAGCCAATTTCAGCTTTGAATATAGGATGATTGAATTGTATTACTGTATATTGAGTGTACAATGCACACTATGTGAAAGAACTTTCTAGGCCTATGTTTATTAATTTTTAGTATATAATCAATACAAATGCAATATACAGTAATAAGAACAGGAAGAAGAAAGAAATTTGGAGCAGCTGAAATGTTATCCAAAAATATACAACAATCATTAATATGTCATTGTATTGTTTTTATTTTGTAATAAATTTAAAACACTAATCATCGGAGGTCTCAGTGCTTAACCTATCACGTTTCATAATTCGACAATTACCATTCTTCGGGTCTTAATAATTAAAATCGTGCTAGGGTCTAGAGACAAAGCTATAAGAGCTAGAACAATATGGACAATGATTATTTGAACGAGAAGAACCACATTATCAGTATATTATTCTTACCATCTTTATTTTGCTAAATTAAACCAAAAGTTATTGCCCGAAACATTCAATCGTCAACAATTTAGGACATGTTACTTGTTTACTCATTTTTTAAAAATAATTATATATGATATTTTTTATAAAAATGAATCATATTTTTTATTGATGGAAGAAAAAACATTAAATTTACTCTGGACAACAATGTTGTATCACGAGTGAAAACGTTGTTACACTTTTTCTAGACATCTGTGCCAGTGGCGTTTCTAGAAGTTGCGAAATGGGGCTGGACTGATCTGTGCCTATTTAACAGCCAAGCAGAATCTTGCAGGTTTTTATTCACAGTATATTATAAATTATTCTACCTACTGCATTATATATATATAATTAAAATGTCTTATATAACAGTATGTTCAAATCTTTGGTCTTCTGGATGTGGCCGTGCGTGTGTTACGTCACACTCGTTTCTGAGTATGCATCATGACCCTATAAAAAAAAAGTTACATAATTAGTACCTAAAAATACACTTTATCCTTGGCAGAAACTAAGCAATTTATACAGGGATCCCAAGTTGGAAGAGCCCATTTCCGGGAGATTCATTTAATAACATTGGGGGCGCTATATATTCTATGAGGAAAAAGTGTAGGTACCAAACAAAGGGCCACGCCCACCTCAGGCCCACCATGATTGGGGCTGAGGTGATGACATTTTTTTAGAATAGGCACCTTTAGAAGCCAGAAATGGAACTGTCAGACTGCAAAAAATAATCGGCAACCAAAGTTTAGGCCAAAATAAAACAAAAAAATTTGTTTTTTACTGAATTTGCAGGAGATAAGTGAATTTCCGGGAGATTTTTGCTTGTTTGCGGGAGACCATACCGATTTCTGGGTGACTCCCGGGAGTTTGGGACACCTGTTTATAATTAAGTTATTTTTAAAAATCCTAGTTGAGCACCTAGCATATATGGGCTGTGCACATGGGTATGTCATATATGAATGAAAAATAAATGTATGTCAAAATGTTGAAGCAAGCATTATAAATTGCTGTAAATTAAATGGAAACAATAAGTTATGTAAACATGTTAACAAAATTTAGTATTTAGACTTTATTCTAATAATATAAATTCCATGCCAGGTAATTAAAAAATGTAAAAGCAAGAGAGGATAGTTACTGACAAACAGAATTGAAAAAGATTATTAAGCACTTGTATGGAGAGTAGCTCTATATGGGTTTCAAACCTGGACAATGAGAAAAAAAATGAAATAGATACAATGGAAGGTTTTGAAATGTGGACATAGAAAATGATAAAGAAAATTAGTTGGAAAGACCAAGCTTTCAAATGAACAAGTACTACAGACATTAAAGGAGAAAAGAGCTTAATTAGCTACAGTATGATAAAATACAGAAAGAAGAAATGGATTGGACATGTACTTATATAATAGAGGAGATGGTCTTTTGAGGGATATTATTAAAGGAAGAGTAGAAGAAAAGTGGCCTTGAGGAAGAAAAAGTGTAACATTGTTAGATGACCTGAAGGAAAACAGATGAAAGCTATTACATCATGAAACATAAATCATATGATAGAGAAAATTTGAGAATTTTTTTATCATCTTAAATCATCTTTGTTTTACCTTTTCAATTTTTGCATCAAGCATCTTAAAAAAGTCGGTCTGGCTTTGGGATGCATTTCTGTGGGAAAAAAAATGAGAGATAGATATTGAAGCGTTAATTCTCTGGTAGGTATTCACATTTAAATAGTTAGAATAGTGCGGTGCAGCTTGTAAGGCATTTGACCTTCAATCGAGAGGTCGAGGGCTTGAGACCGATGCTCATCACACTGCTTGTGCTCTTGTGCAAGACACTTTATCTGCATTTACCTCCCTTAAATGGGCAGTGGCGGCGCCAGGATTTCCCCGACAGGGATTCCAAGGTCCCCGACGGGGGACTGGTGTCCCCAACGAGAAAAAAGTTGGTGTGGTCGGGCATCACTAAAAACCTTTCGAAAGTGGTCCAGGGGATGTAGCAGTATACACGGTATATACGGTAAATCATTTAAGACCACAACAGCATTTTCTTCCAAATTAATCAATAATATATATGTTTATAGATAGTTTTTATATATTTTTAGAAGTCTAAGAACCAAAAAAATATGCACACTATACCCTTCATGCCCATAGTTGTAGTAATATCTTTCTAGCTACAACACCCTCACTCACCCACATAAACTTAAACCTGTCATCCATCATGCTCTCTCCCAATCACCCTCCACTAATTACTATACCAAAACGTAAAAACTCAGACAACCAGCGAGAGTAAGACATCATGTTAGGTGTCAACAAGGTTTTGAAACCTAAAAGGAACTAACAAAAACAAATGAATAAGGAATTATGTTACTAACGTTGTACTGTGCATAATCGGGGTGGATGATACAACTTTCTTCTGGTGTAGTTTCTAAAAAAAAAAAAAAAGAAAGAAACGACATTATCTTTACTGCTGAACAAGGTTAATAGAAAAAGCCCTTTATTTTCGTGCATTCATAATTTTTGCAAAAAAAATTATGAACACCACTGAAGTAAAAATGATAAGAGAAGGATGAGCAGTGTGAATTAATTAAAACTTTAAAACAATAGTATGCATTGATATAACTTAAGAGATGAAAAAAAAACTGTGGTTAGGCCCTCTGCAAGTAATTTGCATGTGAGATGCATCTGACCACAATAAACAACAAGGTTTGGTGTGATTGTTCTTCTGGACTGGAGAGCACTAGCATAGAGTGTTGCACTGACAAAAACATAATACAACCAATATTAAACTCAATGAATAATGAATGTTAAAAATTGCTTAATGAATAAATCGGCCGTGTGTTCATTACATCTAACGCTTGAAATCTCTTGAACATGTAGTTTCTGAATAAAGGTATAGATGAATAGATTCTTAATTTATACTACTATATCTATAATGTAAATTGAAAGTGGAAATGTTTCTTTTTGTCCTTTGTTATAATGTAACAAAGTTTTGGCAACCCTATTATCATTAATTGTACAAAGTTATCTAACAACAAGTTCCCCAGTACAAATATTTTGGTATTTGGTTACCATGGGGTCCATATCAGGACAGGTCCAAAGTGCACTCCAAATCTATACTCTATGCTTTGAAGGTAAAATATTGATTTTAGGCATTGGCCTGACTTTTTTATACCTTGTTTTGTGAAACTTCCCCCCGCCAATAATGATAATTTTAACATACAAGATAATTTTGTTGTTTTTATTACGCCCGCCACCACCTTACAATCTCTCAAAATAAGATCTATTTCTTTCATTAATTATTTAAAGTTAAAGCATTAATTTTTTTTTTTTTTTTTATCCTCCACCTAGGTGCTTTGTGTAAAACAAAATTTTGCATATATTTTTTTCACTCTCCTCTTAAATCTGTATATTCTTCAAAGCAGTTATTTGCTGTATACATAAGTTCTTGCTATTCCTTTTTTTTTACCAAAATGAATTTTACATTTACAAAATTAGAACACGATAGAATTTTTGTACAAAATCAGATATGTTTAGACAATGTTGAATACAATACTTGTACACTTGCAGAGCTTCTTTTAGTCTTTCCTTTACAAATATACAAAACTGAATATGATAGAAATTTCACAAAGGAATATAGATTACCAGGGTTGAGCTAGTCGACTATAAGTCACTGATATCACAGAGCACATAAAACTGGTATGATAAACACATACAGTAGAATACATGACTGGTATGTTTGAGCATAAGTATTCAATAACCAAGCCCTTAATCCAGCTTTCTGTCTTTTTTTTAAGAAAAAAAAAACAATCTTGATACTTTCATGCATAAGCACAAAACCAGGAGTGTCCTGGGACATATTGCTATAAAAAAGGTCTTAAATAGTTCTCATACAGTAACTGGTCGAATAACCAATCATTTAAGACCACAACAGCATTTTCTTCCAAATTAATCAATAATATATATGTGTTTATAGATAGTTTTTATATATTTTTAGAAGTCTAAGAACCAAAAAAATATGCACACTATACCCTTCATGCCCATAGTTGTAGTAATATTTTTCTAGCTACAACACCCTCACTCACCCACATAAACTTAAACCTGTCATCCATCATGCCCTCTCCCAATCACCCTCCACTAATTACTATACCAAAACGTAAAAACTCAGACAACCAGCGAGAGTAAGACATCATGTTCGGTGTCAACAAGGTTTTGAAACCTAAAAGGAACTAACAAAAATAAATGAATAAGGAATTATGTTACTAACTTTGTACTGTGCATAATCGGGGTAGATGATACAACTTTCTTCTGGTGTAGTTTCTAAAAAAAAAAAAAAAAAAAAGAAAGAAACGACATTATCTTTACTGCTGAACAAGGTTAATAGAAAAAGCCCTTTATTTTGGTGCATTCATAATTTTTGCAAAAAAAATGATGAAGACCATTGAAGTAAAAATGATAAGAGAAGGATGAGCAGTGTGAATTAATTAAAACTTTAAAACAATAGTATGCATTGATATAACTTTATAAGAGATGAAAAAAAACTGTGGTTAGGCCCTCTACAAGTAATTTGCATGTGAGATGCATCTGACCACAATAAACAACAAGGCTTGGGGTGATTGTTCTTCTGGACTGGAGAGCATTAGCAAAGAGTGTTGCACTGATAAAAAATGTACACTAAACATAAGACAACCAATATTCAACTCAATGAATCATGAATGTTAAAAATTCCTTAGTGAATAAATCGGTCGTGTGGTCATTACATCTAACGCTTGAAATCTCTTGGACATGTAGTTTCTGAATAAAGGTATAGATGAATAGATTCTTAATTTATACGACTATATCTATAATGTAAATTGAAAGTGGAAATATTGTTTCTTTTTGTCCTTTGTTATAATGTAACAAAGTTTTGGCAACCCTATTATCATTAATTGTATAAAGTTATCTAACAAGTTCCAAGTACAAATATTTTGGTAGTTGGTTACCATGGGGTCCATATCAGGACAGGTCCAAAGTGCACTCCAAATCTATCCTCTATGCTTTGAAGGTAAAATATTGATTTTAGGCATTGGCCTGACTTTTTTATACCTTGTTTTGTGAAACTTCCCCCTGCCAATAATGATAATTTTAACATACAAGATAATTTTGTTGTTTTTATTACGCCCGCCACCACCTTACGATCTCTCAAAATAAGATCTATTTCTTTCATTAATTATATAAAGTTAAAGCATTAATTTTTAATTTTTTTTTTTCCTCCACCTAGGTGCTTTGTGTAAAACAAAATTTTGCATATATTTTTTTCACTCTCCTCTTAAATCTGTCTATTCTTCAAAGCAGTTGTTTGCTGTATATACAAGTTCTTGCTATTCCTTTTTTTTTTTTACCAAAATGAATTTTACATTTACAAAATTAAAACATGATAGAATTTTTGTAAAGAATCAGAAATGTTGGACAATGTTGAATACAATACCTGTACACTTGCAGAGCTTCTTTTAGTCTTTCCTTTACAAATATACAAAACTGAATATGATAGAAATTTCACAAAGGAATATAGATTACCAGGGTTGAGCTAGTCGACTATAAGTCACTGATATCACAGAGCACATAAAACTGGTATGATAAACACATACAGTAGAATACATGACTGGTATGTTTGAGCATAATTATTCATTAACCAAGCCCTCAATCCAGCTTTCTGTCTTTTTTTTAAGAAAAAAAAACAATCTTGATACTTTCATGCATAAGCACAAAACCAGGAGTGTCCTGGGACATATTGCTATAAAAAAGGTCTTAAATAGTTCTCATACAGTAACTGGTCGAATAACCAGCTTTATCGTACAGATGGTCTTTACAATAATAATGTTTAACATACTGCACATTGACAAAAAATTTAAAAAAACTCAAACCAACCTGCTTTACATATACCGAGATTGGCAAGCTGCAATCACTATAACTTACTTTTGTAATATTTGGCTTGTGATCAGATGACAAAGATCCAGGTTCATCATTTTGGTTATCAATTGTCCGCACACAAGATTGCTGGGATATATTATGATTTGGAGTCACAACAGATTGCATATAATCTGAAAGAAAGTTTTAGAATTATCCCTTTTAATGCGGGCCCTCAGTGCGCAGTATGACGACTCAAACTCCACTCCCTGTAAGCGCTTCATGCTGCAACGGCATCTGTTGATTGCCGGTGGCTGACTGAACATCATCATTAAAAACAATTCATTGTGCGCGTGTTGTGGCATTGCGTTCTCCCTAGAATCGCATTGTCTGCCAACCGTCGGGCGCATCGATTTCCTAGCATTATTGTTCATATGCAGTAAAATCACATCTTTCCATCATTCCTTCTACCGGTATCTCTTATATTTAGCAGAGTTTGAAAATTACAAGCATACAACTATACATAACTCGATATTCATCAATATAATACTGATCATTTATAATTATGTATTGGACGTGCAGTAAGGCAAAGTAGGATACATTTTAAAAGCAATATCACACAAATGAATTTTAAATATTGCTGGAAAATAAAATTGTAGCATGTATTTTTAATTGATAAAACCTTGCAAAAAAATCAACAATTCATTACTAAAGTGTATACTGTAGTCATAACTATTTTTTTTTTTATCATTTCCTGATGATGACATAATTAATGTTGAAATATTGAATCCCGACACCATAGCGTGCATGTTAAATTAGAAGCTTATAACTTCAGAAATGACAGTGGATGCTCACTATAATTGCAATAATAATCTGAGAATAAAATGACCATGATGAAGAATGGAACCGGTTTGGCACAGCGGGAAGGGTTTGGTTTCCCAACCAGGAGGTCAGGGTTTCAATCCCTCCCTTGCTGTGCATTTCACCTGTGTCCTTAACCAAGGCACTTATATCTTCATTGCTTCTCTTCGCCCAGCGGTACTGTACCTTGTTGGGTTGCCTGCTACTGCACCAATAGGGCAGCAACACTTCAGCATGTTGACAAAATGGCCATGTAAAAACTTAGAGTGCTTTCAACAAAAAGCATTAACAAGCAACAAATAACACATATTAACAAGTAACAATAATGGGTAATTGCATATTTAAAACACATTCCAAATGCTCTCACAAAATAGGCAATCATCACATACTGTAAGAATTGAATAATGGAGATTTTTGTTACAGTATTATGTAATGCGTCTTCGCATTCTCTATGTAATCACGTCAGCCAACAACTGTTGGCACAGTGCATCTGGCGTAAAACATGTTCAAAGAAATCACACAACACAATCTATATCCCTTTCTCCCAGTATGTTGTCTTGTGAAATGCCTTACCTATACTTGAATCTGCGAATCCATAGTCATTGCAGGCTGTTTGTTTGACGGGCTGGCTAGCAGAACATCCCATTTTACAATAAATGCCAAGTGTAGGCATTGAAGTATCTTGCAACTACATCAATAAAAGATTTCTGCAATGTAAACATAAATTCAGGAGATAGGTCTAAATTGTCTACAATGAAATGAACAATGGTGTAAAAATGAAAAACACATTAAAAAATAAATAAATTATAAATTCATTATAAAATAATAAACTAATCCTAAAATGTAAAAAAAACAAAAAACATTCCTTATGTTCATATGAACACAAATTAACAAATTTTAGAGAGTTAAAAAAAAAAACGATAATCATCTTGGTCTTTTCATTGATACAAAATAGGCAGCTACAGATAAACCTATGTGGCTACAGCTTGTTAAGTTCTGTAAACCTATAATGTAGTAGTCAAAGTAGGAAATACATTGGAAAGTATCTTGCATATTTAAAATAAAGTGGCCTATTTGATCAGATGTGAACAGCATTGATTCATGTATCTAACTTGATTGCAAAAAAATGGGTGTTCTGTTGACATTTGTTGTAGAAGTATCTTTTGCCCAAACTGACATGTCATTGTACCGAATACTCAGTATGTACGTTCCAAAAAGTGATGCAAGTGATTCATCAAAATAGCATAGCAGTACCTATTGCTTCTTAATGGGGATTGGATTTGACACTACAGTAGTCACTATAGCAATCTCGGTGGTCTAGTGGTTATGACACCAGACTAGTTATCTGGAGATTGTGGGTTCGATTCCCACCACAAACACTTGCGATTTTTTGGGGAATGTAGTATTCGATACAATATTTATGTCAGGTACAGTAAAGCAAAATATCACTCCTATGATATTTTCCTGACACAAACACACATTGAAATTGAGATTTGTTGTGAGATAGAAGCTGAAATATACCAGATCTAAACAGTTATTATGCTACACTAGGCCTCTACTAAATTCTGTGTATTAACATATTATTTTTTAACTTAATGTGTTCGGCTTTAATAGCCTATGTTACTTTCTTGGACACACGCAACTGATAAAACATGTGCAGAAGAGCCATTATATAAATCTTTTATTCTATTCTATTCTATTTGTGTCAAATTTATTTATTTTTTTAAATAATAATATAATAATAATAATAATTTTTCCCTTATTTTTGGTGTAATGATTTATCTGTTTTAAATGTTATATACTTTTATGTAATTTTGTAAATATTGATAATTATATCTATAAACTTAATTGTATTAATTAATAATTAATAATTTATAATTGAAAAATTTGTGGATAAGAATATATTTTTGCTAGTTAAGTACCTGTTTATTGTTATACAGTATATATTTCTATAGAATATTTTCTGTGTAAACCAACAATTTCAGCCTGCAAGCTGCTTGTTTTGGTGTATCTTTTATAACTGAATAAAATAAATAAAAAAGTAAGTAAAAAACATGTCACCTCATGAAACCTATCTTGTATTTGTATCAGTTTGGTGAACGGTTTTTCAATGCAGTGTGTAAGCATTGATTTCATTGAAAAACTGCTTTTAGCAATGATAATGAAACGATAAATTGTAATTACTACGAAACATTCATCTGGCTCCATAAATAATTTATGGTTAGTGTCTATCTACATTTCCATTTTATTAGATCATCCAACGAAGATTATTAATACATTATGTTTGCTATGCAATTGCCTCCAGAACTACTTTATGCATCAGTAGGAGCATCATCATCATCATCATCATTCATTTCAAGGCCAAAGCATACATACCCTATGGTTTTATTAATTTAGTTCAGTCTTTAATGTTACAATGTTAATGTTTTATATCACCAGTTTTATCACAAAACTGACATCTCAAAATTACCAATAATTACCTGATTATATAAATGGGCATGTCTTAAACCAGGTGTATTTTTTTTTTATCTCTTTGCAATCTGCTAATTAATCGTGTTATGTCTAATAAAAAAAAAAAAAAAAAAAAACAACACTAAATCGAAAGACTTGTATGTAAAGCCTCCTGTCATTTGCAGTTCATACCTACTGTTACAAACAAGAGTAAGAAATATTTTTACTTAAATGCATCCTTTTATAAATTAGCATCTTCAGTAGTAGATTTTGTTTTTTTTATATCTACATTCACATATTTTCGATTTATTTTTTAAATTTATGTTTCGATGCATAACAATACTCATGATGAGCATGGTGATGAATGAACATTTACAATGGAACAAATATGACTAATTAATCAATTGAATTTGCAGCATATCTACAAATTTAAGAGAATAGTGTCCACGTATGGGTTTGATAAAAAGGCTTCTAAACCATCTTTACATTGAACATGAATATATGAGCAACAGCCGTAAATTGGACTGCTTTCAGAGATGCTTTCACTCAATTATTTAACAGTATATCACACCAATGAAAATTTAAATTGTATAGAATTTTGATGGTTGGTTATTCATGCATTTTTTGCCTTTATGCATGAAAAAAGGACTATTGGGAATCTTGGAAATCATAATAATCGGATTGACAGCCATATTAATAAATCTTTTGGTAGATGAGCTAATTATCAAACTCAATACAGGAAAACCTGTTTTTCTTTTTGAAAAGAATTGCCTTTTGTCCTTCATTGTTTCGGTATAAAGCATTGATGCAGTTCTACTGTATAGTTATATCATGTTGGATTTTCTATTTGTTGATACATACTCCTGGATTTCTAGAGTAAAGAATGTCAAAAGTTTTATCAGTCATAGTTTACCAACCGCCTCGCATCGTGCCGGACGGTCCAGCATTTCAAAGTGATTTTGGATGTAACTAACACGCATTTGGCAGAAACACAAGCATGGTCTTAAATTTGTCACACATTTAGTCTATGCGTGACGAAAAATAATCACAAATTCATGGAAAATATTATTAAAATTATAAGAAATTAGTTTTATTAAAAATATAAAACAATCATGCAGTAACTTGAGTCATTAGAGAGCTTTCGTTATTTCGTTTGAGATTCAATTCACCGAAAGCTTTGGTGGCGCGTGCGGTCTTGCGGGCTCATTGTCACAACCAACGTTAATTATGTGACTGAAACTGTAGTTGTCAGTTAGCATCAAACATGCACGCATTTACGTGAATACTTAATTCACTGACGCGTTAATAAAAATTGATTGGTATGGTTAATTGTTTCTGGTTATGGTGGGTAAGGCCGACCTCCTACGGACTCCAAACATGTAGGACCATGGTTCTTAAGAGGTGGCCCGCGGGCCAAATTTGACCCATGAAGCTATCCAAAATTAAAATCAAATTAAATCATTTGATAAATAATTTTCTCATTATAAATGAAGACAACGAAATTCCTGAAATATATATATATATTATTAACTACCAAAAGACAAAAGAACAGAAGCTTGTTATTTTTAATAATGTATGTTTTTTAATTCATTTTAAACAATTATTTTAAATACAAAAGAATTTGTTTTTGTATTAGTTTCAACTTCATCCAAAAAGAAGTTTCATCATCATCATGCATGCGAACATGGCTCCTACTGTATTGTATAGAAGATGAATGTGCATGTTAGGTTTGTACACAAGCTTGTCTTTGAGTCGGGTTAACCCACTGTAAAAAAAATAATCTGCTATCAAAAAATGCCAAAGATTAAAGTTAGTTCTAGCTATATCTGGAAAAGCCTGGAAAGATTTTAAAATTTAGTAGACTCAAAATTGAGGTGGTTTGAGGCTTTACTTTACAGAATATTACGATGGCTACTTTTTTTAACCTGGAGAGTTATTCCCCAGGCTATTTCCCCCCATTTTTTCGATGCATTGTTCCTCCTACTTTTCCTATTGATCATCAGGTTATTTTCAATATACTTTATAATTATTTTTTTTAATTTTTTTTTATTTTGTGTTTTCTGTATATCAATTAATTATTGTCTAGTCATTGTAAGGTTACACTAAAAAGGTGTGCCATGATACAGTACTGATGAAGCCTAAATACACAATGTAGAAAAGCTTTGAAAGTTTAAATCCGGGTTTACATAAGAAATAGAGGAAAGAAAACAGGATATCTTTATAACATGTTTCCTCTTTTGGAATTTCGATATCACACCTATTTTCTAGTCGTTCATTATATATACCCATATTTCTCTGATTCCACAAAAAACACTCCGGCAAGTAGCGCAAGTATTATTCCTGTACTTCTACAGTACTTTTGAGGTCATATGCCCATTAGTGATTCTCTTCTACGATACGCCTACTTTTATTTCAAATTATGTGTTATGGTTGATGGTAACGAATACGCCTATATCATTAAATATATTTCATTTAATTAATGTTATTTGATTTGTTTATCTATCAGAACATTAGGTCAATTTATGTTTTATAAAGTATGCGTATTATATTTTTAATATGTTACTACAGTAACGTTTATTATACTGTACACCGAATGCAATTTCTTATTGTTTTAACCAACTAGTGAACAGAATATTGATAATTATGTACATATTCTTTGCTTGAAGTTACAGAATTTGTTACCATATATTTTAACAAAAAGTAGAATTTGAAATTACCAATAACGACTTGCTTAATTGCTGGTACTCAAATATTATCTTTTGGCCCTTGAGCCAAACTCAAAATAAATGTTGCCCTTTAAACCAATAAATTAAGAATTAGGGGTGTAAGAGTATAACAGGAGGGGCAGAAAGAATGTCGAATGTTAGGAAAGGTTCACCACTGCAGCCTATTCATTTTTTGTTTGTCTGAGTAATGAATGTTTATGTACATAGTTCGGGTACTCAAATTAAACATACATTGAAACTCGAATTATACGTGGCTTTATTAAAAATATTTTTGTTTATGTACCTGATATTGTCAATAAACACTCCCTAAAACAGCTTAAAAATGCTCAGATCATCAGAACGCCCAGGGAATATCGCCCCACCCCAGAACCCCCATGGGGTCCCAACCCTGAACCCTGGCGTGGGTTCACACATTTCAATTTTTCAGGTTGGTAACTATGATCAGTTATAATTTCAAGTGCATAGTTACCAACATATACGGATTCACTGTGCGACTCACAGATAATTTATCATTGCCAGTTTTACTATGAATGAACAAAAAGGTAACAGACATATTTTTTGACGCTGATTGTGAACAGTAGGGTAAAATGCAAAGCGAATCTTTACAACCAATGTCAATAGTTGCTAAAATATGGGAACCCTATACTTTCACCCCTAATTTGCATATATAAAGCTGATTTGCATATGAATAGGGGCATGAAAAATTGGTGACAATGTTTTTTTTTTATTCAACATGCTTTAAACTAGATTCCAGACAAAAAATCAAAAAGAAGCATACCTCCATGACCAATCGTTGAAAATATGGGAATTCTAAATTTTAACACCTAATTTGCATCTTTAAACTAATTTGTATATAAATGGGGTTGTAAAAAAAAATTAATGACAAAGTTACTCAATTCAGCATGCTTCAAACTATAAATTCCTGACAAAAAAAAGCTACTCTCTACGACCAGTGATTGTCAACATAGGAAACCCATATTTTCATACCTACAGTAATTTCCATATTTATAATACTAACCGAAAGGTCCACTGATTAATCTCAGATAAGAAAGTATACAACTTTAATTAGTCATCATCAGGAAGACGCTGACATAATTAATTTATAAATATTGAATCCAAACACGATGGCGTGTATTAAAATAATTGGGAGTACAACATGTATTATACTTTCTTATGCTATTAGAAAGTAGACAAAATGACATTTCTGGTCATTCTTGAAAACAATGTTCCACTCTCTAAACTACAAGTGTTTGCCAAGATACTGTATGGGTACCCTACATTTTCAACCCTCATTTGCATATTTAAGCTAATTTGCATATGAAGATGAATGTAAAAACTCATTTTATTTCATTAGAATACCTCAAAGTATACATTATTCCAACAAAAAAACTAAAATATCATAAAATTCCCAAAGAGTGAAATGAGCCCCTAGCCTATGTGGTTTTGTATTTTGTATGGCAAATGGATCATGATTTTCCAACATGTTGATGGACAATAAAGTTTTATCTAAAACTTTATTATTTAAACCTAGATACTTTTTAACATGAGAGATCGGAAATGTTCAAAACTGTTAACTGATATCAATGTTACTATTTTCAGAAACAATATGATTGTAAGGAGGTACAGTAACCTAGAAATAAATCTCTGTTTAAGAACACAAACATCAAAAACATGCGAAGACCCTAACACTCGACAATTAACATGAAGATTTATAGGCCTAGATCTACATAACACCAGGTGGGTGGTACACTGTAGATGGGCAAGTTTTAGGATAAATTGTTTGATTAGTGCTTTATACAAAATATGCCTACTGTATATACTGCAAATTGTATTAAATGTTATTGATGTTCCAAATTCTTCGGTGTTCTACCCTATTTTTTCTCAGCTAATCTAATATTCATTAATATAATATTATGTGTTTTATAATATTTATTCTCTTTTTAAAGTTGTTTGTTTACGTTGGTTTATGTAACTATTTCATATTATCTTTATGTAATTATTGCTCATGTCTATTAGATTATGTTAATTCGTTTTGAATTGAAATACCGTAAGATGGAATGAATCAACATGAAAGAATTCACCTCAATCTCTCTGATTTTGTTCAAATTTTACTACGTGGTTGGGAGCAACGATCAGAAATGATAAATTTTTGGTCTATAGGGCTCCCAAAATTAGAGATACCTTGCATCTTTTTACTGACCATATCTCGGTAAGTATAGCATGTAATGAGTTGGTTTTGGTGTCATTTTAAAGCTATTAAGTATCTCTATAACTTTATAAATAAATTAACTAACTGTTACAAAATCCTCAAATCAACCATAAAAAAGTTGCTATAGACTAAAACGTTTAAACTAAATAAGTATATCTTTTTTTTTCAAAATCATAATAGAGATACTGTACATATGATTGTAAAGAAGCTTCCCTGTGAGTTTGGTGATGGGTGCCCAAACGTTTTGTGAACAGTGACCAATTATATATGGCATGTCCATTCAACATTTTCTGCAAATGACTATTTACAGATAATTACTTTTCCGTATCATTTTTGTTTAAATATTACTTTTGGCTATTTTTAATTCCTTGTATCACTGATACTTCTTTTCTGAAAATGAGATCTACAGTACAGTATTTACAGGTATAATTTAATAATTTTCCGTATCATTTTTGTATATTTTTTTTAAGAGATAAAAGAAATCTTTCTACAAAAACAATCTTCCAGTATTCAAATAGTCTTGTCATGTCTTTTTTTTCTTCTGAAAATAGTTAAATTGTTTGCTAGTTTTAAAAGTGCCGAGGTTGCCACACATGCACGTCCCCACTGTACTTATTTTCCTTTACGAGCATCAGCATTCTCACACGCCACCATTGTTATACAGTACTTGCACTTTACGTGCATGAAGTACCCTCACAAGTTTTGTCTTTGTTACTTTACTTTACTTTATATGAATTATCTTGCCGCACTTTCTAGATACACAGGACGACCATGGCCTCTCTACTGACTAAAATTTCAGTGAAACATATAAAACTATAATGTATATGTGTATGCAACATTCACATATAAAATCATAATAAGTACGGTATAGATATTGTTTTCATAAGTACATTTAATTATTTTAAAATATTGTCAAAGAATTAGAAAACATTACAGCATACAAACATATAATACTAAATTCTATTTATTTTCACTATGTTCGTATGTGTTACCGAAGCCAAACCAAAATGAAGCGAAGCTTGAATGAAGCGTGGCCGGGAATGAGGCATGACCACAATGATCTGTATTCTTCTGACCCGGGTCATTTTGGCCCACCCAGGTCTGAAAAACAACTCGGGCCGATCAACCCGAGCAAAAAGGTTGTTAGGGTATGTATGTAGGTAGGGTAAGTTTGTCAAGGGGAGGGGGAAAGGGTTAGTGGGGAAAAGTTTGTAAGGACTAAGGGCGAGTTTGCTTGGGGTCGAGTTGACAGAATCCCCTGGCCTGGCCCTAGTCCTCTCTGGCCAATCCTGTATGCTATGCCTAATTAAAACACCTCTCCATATCCAGAGACTAGGCCTAGATAGTAGGGTATATAGGCAGGCTAGCTAGTAGTAGTAAGGAATCCGTAGTAAATAGGCCTACTAGGTCTAGAGTAGTAGTTATTGGTAAGTAGGTAAACACAGGCCAGGCCCATGGCATCCATATCATGAACCGATCCTCAAAAGAATATGATTAATTACTCACGAACACACTCTTCCTGGCAGATGTACTAAAATAAAGCCTAGGCTCTAGGTCTAGATCAAACTCCACCGAACTACAGAAGGTACGACTAGCCAGCGAGTCAATGAGTGAGGTATCCCTTCCAGTTGTCAGAATTGTCACAATAATAACATGCGCTTTCTACCGCGCCGTAGTTGTAATGTACGTCGCTTAGCAGTTACTTATTTGTAAAACACCAATTACGCCAGCAATAAACACACGAGGGCGCTAGATATTTTATTAATACGGTATGTCATGAGGTACAACAATTGTCAATTTCATATTTCTTATGTTTAAGTTAAGTTATTCACTTACAATCACAAATTTTACCCGTCAAAAAAGAAAGAACGATTTTTACTGACTTTTTTTAGTTTTTCCCCGATGTGCTTTTTTCTTTTGTTTTTTGTTTGGGCAAACAGTGTAAGCCCGTCCTATTGCTTGCTGATTTTCTCTGGCCCATTTAAATAAGAGTTCTCGGCAGCAATTCGGTGAAAATGTTTGGGATACAACAGTGTTCTATTTATTGTTTATCGTTTATTTATTTACTATTTAATTATTCATTTAGGCCTATGTATTAACATATGAAATTACAAACAAGGCTGAAATGTTTGTAATATTTGAAAATCAATGTAAAAATAGCATTGATTCTCGAAAATTATTAAAAATATAAAAATACAAAAGGCAGATTCGTTATTTACGTAGGCCACAATATTTATGTAGTACCGTACATTAAGAACTATTATAAAGAGAAAATTGCCATTGTTTCAATTATAATTGAAGAAAACCCCTATCGAAAAAAAAAAACACGAGGGAAAAACAAGTAAAGTTTCAAAACACGACAAAAAAGCACAAGGAAGTTTGGGTGAAAAAAAACCAAAATCAAAATAGAATGATTACAAGGATCAGTGAAAAATTAGACCAATTCTGAATAAAAAAACTCAATTGAGAAATTAAATAGTCATTTTAAAGTTTATTAAGTAGGCCAGTCCTTGTGGCTGGGATGTTAATTTTAAGAGGTCTTAACTCAGGTAAAAAGTAAAATTTAATTAATTAGACTGACTGACTGACTGATCGACCGATCGATCGATTGATCAAGTGATCGATCGATTATATTTCAGAATAAATTCATACATAATCTTAAAATGATAAAATGTAAAGATAAAAAGATAATGTGAATATTAAAACATACAAATCATTTTTTACACCTTTTCTTATTGCTCCGAAGTTGGAAGAGATCACTACACGGAGATCTGGTAATTTTTTTATAAGGTGATAATAACGCATTGACTGCCCCATGAGACAATTGATAAAAAAGAGGATAATAAAGTAATAAAAACATGCAGATAATTATAATGAATTTGCTCAGGAGAAGAGCATAGGCCTAGTTTCCGTGTCTTGCTTGCTTGCGTTAGCAGCCGTCCCAATTTCAGGGAGACTCCCGAGTTGTGGGTGACTTGGGACCCCTTTTTTCTACTGGGAAAACACCTTGCTAAATACTTACCTCTGAATAAACTTACATATTTTCGAAAAGATTCATCTCTTCGTTTTCTGAAAAAAGAATATCAAGATATATCAGCCCACACTTGCTGGCTTAGGCTACTTGATGCAAATGACATGTTTCCAACGAATTCACCAGCATACAGGAGAAAATACAGGAGTAGACTATTTTTAATGAAATGGAAATTATTATTTTTATAATTTGGTATTAAAAATAAATAGTTAATACAGTGTAAAATCTTAAGAGTGTTTGGTTTAGATGTAAGGTGAAATGTCTTCTGTTAAGTTGCGATATTTTTAAAAGCAAACATATTTGTGTCAGATCATTTGAATGCAAAACTCATGTTTTAAAGGAGAAGCATCATATTCCTTCAAACTACAGTACAGCTTCACTCTCAATAAT